CGCCTGTCCAACCTCGTGGGTTTTCTCCGGGTCCTCCGGTTTCCTCCCACTGCTAAAGACTCCTACGCGCAAGCGAATTATTGAAATAAAATTAAACCATATGTTAGTCCCGAAATGACCTAGTTTGTGTCGAGTGGACGTTAAACCCCATTTCTCTCTCTCTCTCGAAGTCAGATAAAAACTTTATACGAGCTAATGGTTAATATTGTGTTCTAAAATTTAGCCCTGTATGTTATATATTCTGCAGGGGCAATCAATAACAAATACAACGAAAGGTAAAATTAAGATAAAATAATGAATTAGTATCAGCTGCCTGAGAAATAGTAAGCATATTCTGCCTTGCGCGCGGTAACAGCAGCGACAAAAAAAGAAATCTTAATCATTCTTCATTAGCACACATTATCAGTACAGCATGTTCAGTCGATAACAACTTACAGTAGGCGTGTATAAAACTAAGTACAACAGTATCATTTTTCTCAATCATCATTAAACCCAACATTTACAGTCGTGGTTAATTCCTGTACTCACACTGTATTTTGGTGTAAGATTTTCATATATATATATATATGTACTTATTGCTGTATATATGTTCTATTTATAGTTCATATATATATAGCTAGAAAACACTGTAAAGTGTTTATTATATAGGATTTCTATTCTGAAAACTCATCAATGGCAAATTTGGCTAAATCAGCTTCCTTATATTAATGAATATACTTGAAGTAAGTGAGAGAGAGAGAGATATTTAACGTCCATTCGACACAAACTAGGTCATTTCGGGACTAACACATGGTTCAATTTTATTACAATTATGCGCGTGCGCATAGGGGTCTTTAGCAGTGGGAGGAAACCGGAGGATCCGGAGAAAACCTTATGATACGGCGCGCACGTGCTAACCATTCGACCGCCCAAACCCCCATTTATTTAGACTTAGTGTGTATGAAAGATGTAAAACGGATTAAACAACAATGCAAAATAGTATACTAATTTAACGTGTACGCAACACAAACAAGGTCATTTAAAAGTGCGTAGAAACTGGAGGATCCGTAGAAACCCTTGAGGTTTGGTAATCGACCCTTCAATTCGTTACGTACAAGCGTGGGATCAAACCAACAAAACCTGCATCAATGGCTGAGCTTACGATCTAACAAGCACGCTTAGCCTATAGGACTCTGGGTTACCTCATCAACTGGTGCCAGAAATGAAATAAAATGGGGTTTAACGCCCTACAACTGGTGTCAGCTGTAAATAACCTCGGATATACTAGGATGTAGTGGGATTTCTCATACTAGTTTTCTGCATGGACTGGACTAATGTTATACTTATTGTATATGTTTCTCTACTTATTTATGTTCTCGTCGATTTAGACAATAATCCAGTTATTGTGTTAATTATGTTCGTCAACAAATGCCTATCAAAGGAGCTATATTAGAGTAAATTGTCAAAATGATTTGAATAAAAAAGGGACTTGTTAAGACTAGTTTCGGAAACAAGATAAAAAGATAATTTAAAAAAATTAAATAAAATAAAAAGTGGTTTGACATCTTACTAATCTGCACCAATCGGTCTAATGAAGCCATACTGACATGCCGTGTGCTTTGAGGGACATTTTGTGCAGACAGTTTTCCGACGTGGTTTCCCCTTGTCAGTGATGCAGGACGGAGGGCCTGCCAAGGACAGCTGCCTAGTCGTTCGGATGGCACGAAAAACCGAGGTCCCGTGTATACATAGGCGTGCACGTAAAAGATCCCTTGGCAGCTGGAATTCGATATAAGAGTAGGCCATTATAGTGCCGCTTTCAGGGCAAAATTTCCCTCGTTGCACACTGTATAGCGTATGCCCCTCTTCATTAGCCCAGCCGGAGCGGAACAGTAGGACGTGAAACCCTATTTCATTTCGCCAGACAGCGGCGTTTCCGTTTTCTTTTCATCAAATTCCAACTGCACAAGGTTCTTTTATGTGAACGTCAACGAGTACACGAGTGGACCTTGGTTTTTCGTTCCACCCAGGCTCTCCATCCTACACCACTAACAATTGGAAACCAGGATGCAACCGGGATCGAATTAGTCAGTGAGCCCGTACAACACCCACTGAGCAGCATAACCATGTTTACTTGATCATAACATACTATTTAATCTCGAGTGCCGCGGTGTCCCAGTGAGTAAGGTGCTGGCTTACTCACCCTGACCAGGAAGTCACGGGTTCGATCCCGGTGTTAGACAGGCGACAATACTCCTTATCACATACACATTGGGAATCGAAACCAATAATTTGACTTAATGACTTAGTGTGCCTTTCACGTAAACATATTTTGACAGTTTAAATTCTATATAAGAATAGGTCGTAGTGCCTCTGTCCTGGCAAAATTTCCCACATAGGACACTGTATGTCGTATACGCCCGTCTACATTAGCCTGGTTGGTTTATTTTAGTTCGCTTTTATCTCGATCAGCCGGAAATATGCCATAATTTCTTTTACATATTATATGAGTGTCATATCCGGGTGCACCTTTGTTCGTGCAAGTTGTCATTTATCGGCCTTTACTATACTAAAAGTTATTTATATTTATTTATTTAGTTTATCTGTTTTAGCTCCGTTAAACTTGACTCTCGTATATAATAAATCATTGTTAATGACTCGATAATTTCGCAGACAACACCCGATAACTACATTATATTTCGGTTGCCAACTAGTTTAAGTACTTGGGTAATGCAAATTCTGTAGGTGGCTTTAATATTTGTTTTTAGTCATTTCATGTTTTCACTTGCATTAAAAGCTCGATGCGTCATTTAGCGTATTCCTTGCAAACTACAATATTGTGAAATTTTAGTCTCTAATTGGATTATTAGTCCAAAGAATTTTAAAATTCCGTTCATTGTTAACCAAGTTATGATCAATTGAAATTTCATCGATCCATATTGCTCCATATTCGTGGAAAAGAACATGATGCGTCTAGTTTAAATCCGATTTAATCGACGCCTGGAGATTACCTAGCTTTGGTATTTTGATTTTGTTTTCTTAATCAAATGTTAAATAATTAGTCAAATGACGCATCGAGTTATTAAGTGAAATCTTTGTTACCATCGCCCCCTTCTGTCTCGGGTCCATTCACTTGATTTGATTGTGTTCTTGTCTTGTCGGCTCCGTTGTTTTCTGGGTTCCGAGTTAATGAGGTCCCGCTTTACTCTCAGCATAAAGGCATGGAATTAAAGGCTTTGAGGCCACTTGTAAAACAAACAATTTTTCTGAATTGGTAATTTATTACAAATAATTATCTGAGAACATTGAACACTTGTGGCTAATTGCACGGGTTTTATATCGCTGCAGACGTATTAAGTCCGCGCCGTTAATTATAGCAGACGATAAATGAATATTCGATAGGAATAACATCGGGGAATAAAGCTACAAATGTTATCAGATTGTGTCACAATAAATGTTTATATCATAATTTCCAGCAATAGGCTTTATAGCCCTATATCCATACTCTCGCAGTAAGCCATTTATTTTCATTCACCTCTCTCCCACGGAGAGATTTTTTATAGACATATAATATTTGGATATTGGGAATTATATGAAGAAGTACCAGTTCCATGGATTAAACGTGTTTCACTAGTGATAAAAGTTAAAAAGTTCCACGCCAATCTAGTGTGTGTATGATGAAGAGTGAGGCTGGGGATGAGGTTCGGGGGCGGGGGAATACGGTGAGGGGATAGCATGAATATGAACTCATTAACTACACGTATCTACATATTGTAAAAGAGACCAACAAGACTAGTTTTACCAACAAAGTCCACGATCATAACACGAGGGGTCATAATAATTATAATAGATGCTGAGTTAATATTTTAAAATTAAAGTAAAATAATTTAATCTATTGTAAAGATAACTTCACCCCCCCTCCCCCCAACCCCAGCCCGGAAGATTTAGATGCAAACACAACGAAGGTTATTCATCCACAGGACATTAAATTGATATTTTATCAAGAGAAGCAAATAATTACTGTACTGTGATACGCCTTACTGGGAGAACCTCAATTCAGTTAAATTAATGTAAATTTTGATTAGGGTCTAAAACAAAAGTATCGAATTCAAATTGTGTTTATGGGATGCCAATCTCACTTCGTAAACACTGTTCTATAAGCTATTTTGTGTTCCGCTTTCGAAGCCAACTTAAAATTAAAATATTAAGTAATTTGACATCTGCTTAATCTCTCGAAAACAACGTTCAATCACACAGAGCTTCCAATATAACCCCGGCGTGTCCCCCTCCCCCTTGTCAGGGATATAGGACGGGGGGGCCTTATCGTTCTGACGGAATCAAAAACCGAGGTCCCGTATACACATTGGCGCACACGTAAAAGAACCCTTACCAGTTGAAATTTTAAATAATTGTAGCAGTAGCGCCGCTGTCCGGGCAAAATTTCACTCATAGCCTTCTGCATGGCCGATGCCCGTCTTCATTAACCCAGTCGGTGCAGAACACTAGGACGTTAAACCCCATTACATTTCGTTTTACCCCCATAACCAATCGTTATATCACACTAGATTAATTCAATTCAATATTTCATTTTGTCCTAAATCAAAGAATTGTGGTTCCTTTTACAAAACCAGAATACACCGTTATATAATTTTACGGTCTTTTTAAATGAATAATTCAGTATAAAAGTCAAATGTTTTTTCCAGTATACGCTTAATTAAATCACCGTAGACTGTAGAAATACATATTAACCATAGCTGAATTCAGAACAAAAGGGGAAGAAAACGTACAATAAAAGTCTTTAAATGAATATTTTAGTATGAGCTCAAATGAATCGTCAAATTAGTCTGACTGTAAAGTTAGATGACAAAATCGATATTTCATCACAATAGAGCTATAAAAGTGTGCCATGTGTGACAATGCACACGCATAACAATACTATAAATGCACGCGGGAATAACAATGGTGTTAATCTTGAAGCATTTCTAAAGAGAATAAATTTAGAACCAAATTCCAATACGAACCCTTTCGATATTTTTAGTCTGCTTCCCAAAATCTGCGACCAACGCCTTCACATTTCACAAACTGTTTATAAGCCACACGCTTCCACAGACGTGGTATATCACTCAATATTGCCCCGGGAATATCAACTCGATGTATCAGCAAAAGAGCAGAACCGACCTAAAAGAAATTGGGTTAAAACGGGATGTAATATAACTGTACCCGATATCGTCTACATTCCACCTCTCTCCTGCTCTGAAATCTAAAAACACGAGAACACAGCACTCTTCCAAACCACGCGACTTCTGAACATCCAGACTCTACATTAGCAATGGGAATCAGGAGCTTGTAGACTCCGTTAACCAGATAAAGGCCATACCCGCCCTAAAGTCAGGAATCTCTATAAGTCAGAAACACGTTTATTCTCGATTGACAAGTACTGATAACAAGGTTATGTGTGCAGAATTCCATATTGCTTGTACGACTGGTTAGACAAGACAGCTCTTTATGTTTTAACGACCCATGGCGCGGGAAAATGATCCGCCGGGCGCGGAGCTGAGAAATACTTATCACGTGACAGAAGCTCGCAGAACGCGCGTCTAGAATTACATTTTTGGCAATGTTGAGTGGTATTGCCTGACGACTTCAGATCTTTGAACGGCCTTCGCTAATCTTCTATTTATATGCGAGACTTGATAACAACTATTACTTTGAATAGGAAAGAGACTTGTTGATAGTTCTATGACGTCTGCTTGTGTCGTCTGCTTTAATGAGTTCTATAATCAATGGGAAATGACAGGGAAGCGAAGCCACGTGGAAAACTGCGGATAATTAAATTAACTGGCGGTCTTCAATCGAGACTGGATTTATTCAGAAATCGCTGTAAATTTATTTGTATAGTAAAATCATTTAATAGCATACAGCAAGGATGGCAAATCTCAGTTTATTCTTCAAATCGAAATGTACAAAGCACCGATCTTTATTTATCAAAGCAATGATCAGAATGGAATTTCCATTCACTTCCATGGGCGGATCTGTGGATTTGTGGAAAAGGCAGACTAAACAAAAACAAGGAGAATATTTTCTGTCCGCCGATGCACCTACGTTTTTTTCTATCGCTACACACTTTGTCCCACGCCAAAATCGTTCAAAAGTGGTAGGTTGTAGCGCAGCCGTCCGTCAAAAGTTCCCCCATAGCACACTGTATGGAGTGTGCCCGTCTTCAATAGCCCAGCTGGAGTAGGATAGGCTGTTAAACACAGTTTCATTTCATTTCAGTTCGTAGTTTCTATGTTAATTTTACCTCAGTCCTTATATTAAGGTTCACGATTTCTCAAATATACTGAACTTTGAAACTGTTTGTAGTATCAGTAGTTCCATAGAATTTATATTTTGATCATCATTATTTAACTTCAACATAACCGTAGAATAACAATTATCGTAGTTAGCCTCAAAATGACACCGCCACAAAAACAAAAGGCTATATTATTTAATTATATAGCGACATTGAGGTAAAATCTTATTATAATTAAGTTTCGTTGTTCGTAGGGTTTTAGTCCGCTTCCACCAAGGGTGATATCGCAGACAGGTGTTTCCAAAGAAACTTGCTAAGTTTTTTTCTCCAGTAGACGTTCATGTCTCCCTAGAGATGCGACTTCAACTTTTAAAATTCCTCAAAATACCAAAATACTTTTAAGTTTCTTCCCCTGTATACATTTATGTATTTTACATCTTCCGATTGAAGGGAGACTAATCCAATTATAATAAGTTCTCCATAGATAAATTCTCTCCTTCCTTCCTTTTCTCTCTTTTTTGGGGTATTTGGTTAAAGGTTTATTGTGTCCGGTTTTGGTGACTATAAATGATTTTGATGCGGAAAGGTCGTTGCACAGTTTACGTCCATATAGATAAAACCAAAATATTCCGTTTAACAGTCCACCTAAATAAAAGTGATCATATATATTCTGGCAGTAGACGCAAGTCACCTCCACCCATACGAACCCACTTATTTATAATTTCCCACAAAATACTGATTTTCTTCTCCTCTCTTTACATTAATAGTCATCACAACTAACCCCTAAAGCTTGGCTCACATGACTGCGTCACTCATCAGCGTAATCCCTTAAACGGCAATTTCTCCAGACGACATAGGCCATAGTTGTTGATACATAGACCCAGCTAATAAGGTACTCACTCACTAAATAGGAGATCCAGACTTCGATTCCGGTGTCACTGGTTGGGTAAACGTAGAGTCTGGCGGCAAGTAACACTTTCTAGTCGTTCGGATGCAACGAGAATCCATAAAAGAGCAAATATTAGACGGAAACGCCGCTGTCCTTGCAAATTTACCTCATGGACATGTCTTCATTAGTCCAACAGGTGTAGAAAAGTATTTTATTTGTCCATTGATTTGGAACGGACCCGCTTCTCTTGATCCACCAGTTGAGATAATATCTTTTTCATGATCACCTAAACAATCTGTAGATTTAGATAATCAAATAATACCCGACTACTACATGGCAGGAGATTATAAGATTATTGGATTATCGCTGTAATAACCTACATTAATACCTAGCAATGTATATCAGTACATATCGCCACTCTATGAACTTATTTTCAGTGACCTGATCACTTACTCCAAGAAATCATATCAGTAAATAGGTACGACCTTTGTCGATTCATTTAATGAACATCGCAATCAGTCAAGTCCTCTATTGACTTGTGATCAGAAATTAAAGAAATTACTTTAACAGTTTCGTACTTAAACGATGGGGTCATCTAGAGATTAACATGTATAGTGCCTGATACATTTTCCCCAAGACTTTATAAGTTTGTGAAAGGTTAGATCATAAGGTCGACCATTGAGTTTAGTGTTGTGGTTTCGATTCCAGGCTTGTACGTCACACGTTGTAGAGTCGCATGCCTAACATGTTGTGTTTATCCGATTCATCTGGTTTCCCTCCACTGAACGCAGACGAATTATCGAAATGAAGAAGTACCATAATATGTCGTGTCCCGAAATAACCTAGTTTGTATTGAGTAAGCGCTAAACTCCACCTGTCTCTGCATCTATGTACCTAAATCGTTTTGTCCTTCCCCTAATGTTTTTTTTTTAAATTTATGTTTATTTTCAACATGGACAGGAAAAGGACACCTTAAAATATTATAGCATATTATTTAAAGATGCATTATGTAAGAATTAGATAAAGAGCTGGACGTTCTTGCTATAACAGTTCAAAAATAGAAAATGAAACATGAATATATATTTGTAAATTTCATTCAAATTACTTTATACTCAGCGAAGTTATGACTGTTTGAAGATATAGCGTAGATCGTTCATTATCGTACCAACAGTACTTGACAACCGAGACTTGACCCCGATTGTCATTTTTATCCTTAAATTTAGAAATCTCGTTGATGTTTAAATCCATTTAAATCTCGGCCATCCGATCGTCTAGAGAGTTGATCATAGGCTTGTCATGTTGATAACTGTCTAAATAATAACTTATAACATGTGAAGCCAAGAGAGAGAGAGAGAGAGAGAGGGAGAGGGGGTGTTAACGTCTACTCCATACAAACTATTAGGTTATTTGGGGACTAACATATGGTTCAATTTTATTTCAATAATTCACTTGCGCGTAGGGGTCTTTTGCAGTGGGAGGAAACCAGAGGACCCAGAGAAAACACACGAGGTTGGACAGGCGACCCTACTTCTTGTCACGTACAACCGGGGAATCGAAACCCCACGTGAGTTGACTCAATTACAGACCTTATGATACAACGTACACGCGCTAACCATTCGCCCCCCCCCGCCCACACACACACACACACACCCACATACACCCACACACACACCCTCACACACCCACACCCACACCCAAACACACACCTGAAGCCAAAAGAAGGTCGAGCAATAGGAATATTTTGCTTTAATGTAATGGACCTTTAACGGTTTATATTCAACACAGGTGTAGGAAAGGGCATTTGAAAAAGTTACTTTTTAGATGGAGGAACCGACTTTCTCCCCCCCCCCCCCATTTGTTAGATATAGATGGAGGAACCGACTTTCTTCCCCCCACCACCCCATTTGTTAGATTTACTCGCTTGTGGTATTTTAGTTGACATCTGTATGTTGTCCGTCTAAATATATCACAACGCCTTTGGTATAGCACGATACTTTGATTTTAACACCCATTCACAGATTAACCTAAACCGCTTAATATAATCTAAGACCGAAACAAATCTGATATGGTTCAAGTCACTCTTCTAATGTATTGCCGACTGTTAGGATCAACATACTATGGACTTAAACAATAACTGCGAAATATATGCCAGCTCTATGAACTTTTCAGGTAAATGATTTTGAAGCAACAAGTTGGAGAAATACCTCGGAGAAATGGCTAAATGAGTAGAAGTATTCTGGAAATTCTCAACAAATTGAGATGAAATGTTTCAGATTTAACTAGAACGTAATGCTAAAGTATAATGGATGTTGTTGGATATGTGAATTTATATGATAAATTGTGTTATAATATGTGCCCCTATAGAAAGTCACACTGTCAACAGGTGAAACAAACAAGTGTAGTATGCAGTGTACGATATTATAGTGATATTTAAACTCTTATGGATTATGAATGAAAACTGACTGTTTGATCGTCGCTATTAAATGACAAGTGACATCAATAGGTATACCAGAGACAAAACAAACAGTCCAGGTCAAAATAAACACCGGGAAAATGTACCATAGAAAGAAATTTAAATAAAACTGGAACACATTATTACAAAAAGTAGGCCTACAATACAAAAATATCCTTTGATATTGTGTGTTCAAAAAAGAGTAAGCGTATCCGACACCTACCACTCTTTTGCGTAGATTTTTATTTTTAGATCGTAGATTATTCAAGGTTTAAATAATGGAGAAAAAATTAACTCTGCCATAATATTTTTATAACCGATATCTGAGATGGGAAGTGGTATCACTTGTTCTAAGATATATAATAACACAGTGCTTATGTAAATAAATCTATCTATCTATAATAGAAAGGTTACATTTGTTGGAATTGGAACATCTGTGTATAATGGAGGAGGAGGCGAGATATAGAAATTATATACTAGATAGTAAGTTCATTTACATTAAAAGTCGGATCTAGGAAGAGGGTTGGGTGACACTGTGCTTCTTAACTAGATTCAAGGGCCCATTTTCATCCATACCCAGAAATTTCTTGTTAAATATCTGTCAGAGAGAACGACACAAGGTGCACTTCTTGTGAGATTTATATGTTTAGGATGCGGAGGGAGTTATCGTGAAAGAGAGGGAGAGAGAGAAATGGCGTTAAACGT